TGCCCCCCTTCCCTGGCCTCTGCCCAGGAAAATCCTTCTCTCTGGAGTTATTCTGGGACTGGGCGAGGGGGAAACTCTGACGCAGCCGGAGCTGGGTCGTGCCTCGGAGCGAGATGCCTGGGCAGGAGCTCCTCCGGTTGATGCCGTCCTTTGCTTCTCACCCAGTTTTGTGGCAGCAGCGTGGGGCTGAGATGGCCCCGGTGCGTTGTCCTCCCGGCGTGCCCGTCCCATCACTGCCGGAGCCAGGGCTGAAAGCAGCTCAGTACTGGGCTCTGCATTCCCCTTCTCGGTCTCGTGGTGATCTCTGGAGTCCTCAAAAAAAAAAAATAAAAGATAATTCAGTTTTGAATGCAAGGGCTGCTCATCCCTCTGGAAGTAGCAGCAAAGTCCAAGGGAGATGCGGTGTTTAGGGGCATGGACCTGGGCAAGCGCTCGCTGGGGTTAGAGGGCTCGGCGGAGAGCAGCTTCTCCCCCTGAGAAACGGGGGCCGGGGGGCGCTGGAAGCGGCGTTATACTGATTTGCCCATAGTCGGCTGCATGCTCCCTTTGCAAAGGACCGTACAAATTCCAGCCGCGCTGACGGGAAGGCCCTCGATGCTGCTGGAGGGGCTCGGGATAGATGAAAACCAGCCCTGGGCATGGCTGCTCCTTGGACCCTTCCTCGGGGGTCCTGTGCGGAGCTCCGGGCTGTTTCCATCCCCATCTCTGGGGTGGGACGTGATGTGTCAAGGATGTTTCACAGGATGCGTGCTCTCTGCTTTAAACAGCTCAAACCGCGCCGTCGGAGGCAGCAAGGACCGAGTGTGTCCAATGCTTTTGTGCGTGGGGTGGAGGATGCTGATCGAGTCCCTTCAAGCCCAGGGGGATGGGGCCGAGCACGTACCCCCCTCCGCATCCAGGTGTCTCGGAGGCTGCCGCATCCCTGCCCCATCCAACCCCCTCCCTGCATCCCTGGTGTAGTACAAAGGCCGCAGGAGTGCGAGGAGCGTGCCGGGGCCGTGCAAGGTCAGCGTGTGCCCAGCACGGGCTGGTTCTGCTCCTTCCTTCCCCCCTCCCCAGCCTGGTTTCCTAAGGCTTTCCCATAACAATACTGGTTTTGCTGGCTGCAGGGGTGATGCAGCGTGAAACGCTCGTGCCTCAGTTTCCCCTGGTTGTACTTCAGGCTGTCTCCCGGCAGCCAGGGCTCTTGCAGGCATCAGCTGCTCTGCTCTCCCGTCCCCGGGCCCACGGACGTGCTCGGGGCCGGCGAAAGCAGGAGGACGGCACCGCCGGGATAGGGGACGCGGCGGTTGAGCCGGGGGAAGTGGCAACTTCCCGTTGTTTAAACACCAAGCCCAGATCAAAGCGGCGAGGCTCAGTAAGCGTTAACGAACCTGGCTCATCACCAGGCCTGCATTTTTCTACTGGTTTGTCCAGGGTAGCCCAGACTCTCGTGGTCCTCCCGGGTCTCCACGTAGCCCACGGCGGCTTTCAGCGCTGCACGGAGAAGCCACCCTTCCCTCCGTTGCCGGCTGCCCTGACACGGCGATTGCCAAGCGAGGCTCCGGTGCTTTCGGTGGTCACAGGGAGCTGCTCCGCGCGCTGCTGGGCTTCATGGAGCGATGTTAATTCCTGCCTGCCCTGCGACGAGGGTGTTGGCTACGTTGTTGGAGGTTCTGCATCCCAGCCCACGCAAGGAAGCCAAGTCCCTGTGAGCTGGAGCTGATGGGGAAGGAATTATCCAGGACACGGAGTGACATCCTTGGAGGATGGTGGCTGCTGAGCCTTAAAATAAGCGTAGACGCCTCTTGCTGCAAAACCCCGGCAAATCCTTTGCAGCCGTGGTGATGACCGCAGCGGTGTGGCATAACCGGCGGTCTCTTGCTGGTGTTGCTGCTCCGATGTCCTCCTCGGCGTGGTCACTTGGTGGTTGGGATCTCAGCCCTGCTCTTGGCTGATCCTGGTAAGGAGAAGTGATGGGACCCCAAGCTTGGTCCCACGAGGGCGGGCGAAGCGAAGGAGGCTGCGTTTGAGCGCTTCTGGGGAATGTTTATTCTCATAATGTAGATGGAGTCGGCAGTGAGGGAATTTAAAAAAAAAATAAATCAAAACCTGTTGAGTCATAAAATCAACAAACTTGATAGGGGAGCCGCACGGTAAAGCCTCCCCAGAGCCTGTTGCACCGGGTTTTACAGGAACCAGCCAGATCTGGGACAGGCATAAAATGCCCTTCAGTAACCCACACCCAGGGACTCGCCAGCCCACAGGCTGGACCAGTAGCAGCGGAGGAGGAGGAGGAGGAGGAAGATGGTGATGATGATGCTTCCTTTCAGACCATGTCTTGTGTGCCCTCAGGGTTGGAGCTTGGGCTGGAAATAGGAGACCCAGTTCTGTTTGGCCTCTCTGGCCTGGCTGGCTCCGCACAGGTCCTGGCTCTGGTTTTCTGCCCGTTTTGTGCACGTAGGTGCGATCCGGCACCTTCCCATCCCCGGTGCCGGGACGGAAAGCCCTGGCAACTCCCAGGCGATGGCAGGGATTTCCTTGAGGGGTATTTACAGGTAGCTGTGGTGCTGCCGGGTGGGTGGAGGCTGCTG